TATAAGTCGAAAGGAGACTGCGACCATACCCGAGGCCACAACATCTTGGTCTTCACATCTTCAATTTAGTGATTATGTTTAAGATAAAGATAAGAGAGGTTATTGAAATGAATAGCTTAGGAAATACGTTGAATGCGAGGAATTGTGGTAGAAATTCGAGTAGGGGCTACTTATGCTTGATTGTTAGATTGAAGGAGAAAGAGGGTGTCGAACCGTCATCCAAAAAAGGTGACCAGAATAAAGATAATTAATAAAACATTTTTATGAGATTTATTCACCCTATTTCGTTTAAGGTGATGACGTTTCCATTGAATTTCACATTGCCTTACTTTCCCAAAAGTTTTTCTCATCAAGGCTCAGGTGGTCTTCAGTTTTGACCTCGCATTGGTCTTATTAAAACCCCCAGCGGGAGTCGAACCGTGATAGTCACGGAGGAGATCCCTTTTTAGGCAAAGCAAAGCAATGTGAAATTCAGTGGAAACGTTAGCTCTACTCACATTATTGTGTGAAAATTTAACTACGTGTCCCTCATCACCATAAACGAAATAGGGTAGATACATCTTATATTTCTTGTTTAGCCTTCAATATTCATTTGGTGTTATTCTTCCCTTTGTCTATATTTACCAAAAGTGTGTTTGATAACTTTTACTATACTTTGCTGTGCATATAAAACTGGATCGCTTTAAAAACATCAACATGTGCAACAGTCCAATGTTAACTAATGCGTTGCTACTCTGCCTTGTATAGCCTTGAACACTTTCAACTGGATTTTGGTTTGTATTACATTTGACCTGGAGCCAATTTATAATTAATGTTAAATGTAATCTCGTACTATTCCCGTACTATTCCCATCGCGACTTGCTTGTTCTATTATCCTCAACTTGTCTCTATTTGTATACAAGACCTGGGTTGGCTAATGGGGATGTCTGTGTTCAACTTTTTCAGAACCTGATGGAAGAGAATAAGGTTCAATATACAGTACTCAACCCCAAGTCGATCACAATGGGCCAGCTGTACGGTCAGTTCGATCCAGTCTCTCACGAGTGGTCGGATGGTGTTCTGGCCGTCTCGTATCGTGCCTTCGCCACCTCGACGACACCCGATCGGAAGTGGCTGATATTTGACGGACCAGTTGATGCTGTCTGGATCGAGAATATGAACACTGTGTTGGATGACAACAAAAAGCTCTGTTTGATGTCTGGTGAAATCATCCAATTGGCGCCAACTACCAACCTGATCTTTGAGCCCATGGATCTGGAGGCGGCGTCGCCGGCCACTGTTTCCCGTTGCGGCATGATTTATTTGGAACCAGCCAGTCTGGGCTGGCGTGCTTTGATGCGAAGTTGGATGAACAAACTGCCAGTCAACATTAAAGCTGCCCAAAAGCAGGTACTGGAAGATATGGCGGAGCGATTTGTCGACGCTGGGCTGGCGACGGTGCGCAAGGGTGGAGGTCGTGTGAGTGGCTTCTTTTACCCAATTTTAGAACAATTAATCTACATTTCCTGAATACACAAATCAATGAAGATTTTTTAGTAATAAACTCATTTGGCTTGTACGTAGAAGCATGTTCGCAAGTGATTTCATGTTTTTTGTAGTGCTACAAATTAGACAGATATGGCTTAATGTAATTAGAATCAATTTTCTGGCATCTCGCAATAACAGAGTTGATTAAATAACGGAAATAGCCATTAGGCCTTGAGGAATGATGAGCAATGGTACGCTTTCTGTTAATTACTCGAAGTTGTCGTTGTTGACTTCAATTGAAACAATAAACTGTATCTTACTGGGAAGTAGTCTGGCCTCATTTTCACAACTTCTTTCTTTTATCAGAGACTTATCCGAAGTCCTCTGTCATAGTGTCCGGATACTGAGACTGGCAAGACTCACTGATGATGCCGGCTGGGATGCTGGCGAAACGTCTGGGAATGTACCAAATACACAGCCTAATGTTGGCAATTATGCTAACTACTGTAGCAGAGGATTTTGGACAGGATGCGTCCAATTAGGTCGTCCTGATAACACGATGAAGCTAAGAAAACGGGGTCAGACTAGTCGAATACATCAAAGAAAGTACCGCGAACGAAATAGAAGCCAAAACACATTAATCTTCATATCCCCCAGCATATGCTATTTTGGAGGGATTTTTGGATAAATTAAAAATCTATTCTTCCCTTTCGCAAAAAATTTAGACTTGTTACTTAGCGACATCTTTTGATCCTTACCATGTTGATGGACTTTACTAAAAGCTGTAGGGGATTGCCTTTGAGCTGTGACTGTAGATTTGCGCGCACCGTTCTGCGATCTCAATCAATTGTTGTCAGTCATCTGACGGACATTGCCAGAGCAGGACAGCATGTCTAACGCCAATTCACCAACACACTAAGACGAATGGTCAGCAAGGGTTATTCGGGGTCGCAAGGCGGTGCGCCGAGGATCTATTCACACAAATCTACGGTCACAGTTTCAAGACAATCAATCACCCTACAGCTTACGGTGAGGTCAACTTAAGAATCTCTTCAAATGAAAATGAAATGGATTCTTCAAAATCCAGTATTTCTACAAAACTTAACCGAGTTAACTCATGTTTTTTTTGTTATTTTAATATTATAAAGGAATTGTAAAAATATATTCTCACTGATTGAATAATTCTCTTATAACTAAACCTATCAGTAAGAATATGTTATCTGATAAAAGTAAACGGAATTTGATTTGATTGAAAATCGGAAGGAGTCATATTATACTGAGTTATGTATTAATTCGTTCGTTGTTACATTATTCCAATAAACACAGTATTGTAATGTTCATCATTATACTTTCTCTCTATTGTAGTATTTGTAACAAATTAGATGCGTTTTAGTAGCATTATATTGCCCTCATAATCTGTTCGGCCCATTCCCTGTACCTCTTTTTTGCATACAGGAGCTTTCTCCAACCACTGACATCAATCTGGTAAAATCACTGATGAATATGATCGATTGCCATCTGGATGGCTTTAAAGAAGAGGGCGCGCTGGATGCTTTAGAGGAGAATGGAATCAACACTTTGGTTGAGGTAAGCTTCTTATTAATACAAGTTTATGTATATTCTGTGTTGTTTATTTACATGATGCAGCAATCACTTTCACATGATTTTTAGTAAAAGTATGTAAACTATGTGCCTTATTGAAAAAGGCTTATTAATGTGCTTTATAACTGTGGTTTGACAATACCGCATGCCATGGATACGAGTCCTATTTCGGACCATCGGAATTAGCATAGTGAACCTTTTGTCTTATGTAACATCAATAATTTATTCTTGCTAAATCACAATATTGCATCAACTTTGGTGACTAGTTTTGGTAAAATATCAGTCTATTTTATACATCTTTTCTCGTCTTAGACGTGATATTCGAGCTTGTACAATAACCTATCCTAATTAGCAAGTTTATTCATGGGTGCGCACGATCAGAACTGGATCTTGGGATACGATGTAGATTAGATCCAGATTTGGGTAAAATAATCATACGAAAATAGAAAAAAAATATAAAAATATCCTCTCAACAAAAGAGATATAAATATTCTTCTTTTTA